GAAACAACAACTGAGAAGTTGTTGTGTGACATCTAACAAGTTGCAGTTGCAGTTGTAGATCTATACAAAGCTTTTGCAAAATATTTGAATATTGCTGTATTCATTGACAGACCCTTTAATTTTTGCTTGAAAAACAGCAAGCTACTATGGGAAAACAAATCTCCTATAAAAGTTATTAGATTTTGTTTCCTGAACATCACATACATTTTCTTCGTCTATATAAATATTCATGAATGAATTCATGTTTATTAAGTGTGATACAAAACGGTGTTAAAATTAACACATTTCTCAAAATCTGTTGAACAAGTTTATATTTTTATGGTCGAGATCTCGATCGTAAGACTCATCGGCTTAATGACTATAACCTGTTAATGTGTTAACACTTGAGCTTTCCTCCCAACAGGTAAATAATCTCCTGTTTTCTAAATTCTGCGAAACCTATCGTGCGAAAGTTCTTACCGCACCACGTAATTCCTATCTGCAAAAGTGAGTCAAGCACTGTATCCAAGAAACATTAAGAAAGCGCTCTTTTACAACCAATTTATTAAAGACTAATTACGGTGTTCGCAGCAGCATTTTCAGCTCATTTTTATTGTCAATGCTTCGTCCAAAACGTAACAAGGTTACGTTTCGTTACAGCTACCGTTTGCCATCTGGTCTGGATTGCATTCATCTAAAATTACGCAAGAACAAGGAAGAATTCAAAAAAGAATCTTACATAAGATCGTGTTACTAACTCGAAATTCTGCTTCGTATGTACGAAGGTTAACCATTTTCAAATTAGTTTCTCTGTATCCCATCAATACCGTCATCACGTACCAGAATTTGCAGAAACCAAATAGCACGATAAATATTAATGCAAATGAAGCGTCGACTAGGCCCCCCATGACCGCAGCGCCCAGACGTGAACACGGGAATTCGCGTGCATTTCTTTTTCTTCGTGCTCGTTGGAAAGGCACGCTGATCGAAATTGACATTTCGTAATTGAAGAGAAAGAATGGAAAAGTAACAGCCCGGAGAGTCGGCCGGCGCCACCGCCGGAATAGTCAGACGCTGTCGGCAGTAAAATACCGTCATTACTTGGTGTTTTATTCGCCAGTAATCACATGAGAAAGTCGACTGAAAATAAAACGAACGATTCGCGCTAGTTTTTCAGCCGGAATCGGTCGGGATTTTTACGCAGCTTTTAATACACATAAAAGATGGCGTAGCTGTTTCTCTAGACAAGTTCGTCGATTACGATTTTGTGCTGTTTGTTTGTCGGACACATCCGGCTACGAAAAACAAAACGATGCTGCATCGGCGTCGATTTTGTAATCGGGTTCAATTTAATGTTTTCTCAAGGGTTCATAATATGTGTATGAGTATGAACAATTATGTCTGCCATTACTATGTGTGTATCGTCTGTTGGCAGTTTTATTCGATGGATAATTTTTTCAAAACTATTGGACTGATTGTTGTGAAATTTTAGACTTTATGAACATTGTAGACTTGAATTCATGTGTCTATCCCCTATAAGAGTTCTGTTTTATTTGAGTATTTTTTGATAGATAGCCAGTGTTTGATGGCTCTTGAGTAAGAATAAATCAGTAAAATCTGGTTTCGAGATGTTAAATGCCGTAGCATGTCGTGACTTCAAATGAAAAGGAAGCAAGCGTTAATATTTTTAGTAACAATAGCAATAACAATTATGTTTCAAAACAATCATAAGAACTTTGAATATCGTTGCTTTGTACTGAAAGGCACCCCACATACAGAACAACATTCCAATACTCATGATTAAGCCACGACGCCGTCTTCGAGCTACTTATTGTGGTAAATTATACAGACATTTGAGAATGATTTCCACAATAACTGCGATGCTTTAATGCATCGACCTCACTGGATGTTACATTAATTCTGGTGCACTGACGAGACGCGAATCACGTTAAGGAGGAGCGTTGTCGCGTTAGTGAAAGAGATTAGAAAGATGTGTAGAAAAATTTTTCTTATTTCAAGTCTTAGGTATCTCTTGCTTTCTGGTTCTATCCATCGTTCACACTAAAAAAGGACTTCTTTGAACCCCATAAAGACTACTGAGACAACATACATATATTCTTAATATACGTACAAAATTTAACAACAAACGATCCAGTAGTTTCGGAGATTACGTGTCTAATAAAAATCGACACAGACGCCAGACAGACAGACACACTTTTTTCGTACTATAGAGATCACTAAACGTCGAGAAAACAAACACTGGCAAATAGGCCGATTGAGTCAATTACTATACTTCCGTAGCTTACACTCGGGAAGTAAAAATGTAATATTTAGTCTCATTTTAAGTGAAATTTCAAACTTTGTTCATTACGAATTTATATAGATTTTTCAATTAAGACTCCTTTGACACTGGCTTTCGTAATCAATCTTAAAACTCTTTCGAATTTAACGTGGCTGGAGTTTTTTTTTATTTAAAGCTATAGTAACGTGCTTTTATGATAAAAATTTGTTTTTATTTAAAATGATTTTTTTTTAATCAGAACTAACGTGAACTTTTTTTTTAAGATCAATACATTCCTTAACGGAGAATATTGTAATCTTGAAAATATACCGAAAATAAAAAATTGGTAGAAAGTTATTTCGACAGAACTTCCCTCGCTTCTGACTACAGTCCAACAAATACTGCTTATCTGAAAAATTATAAAATTTGATTTTGCGTGATAACCTCTATGGAGTAAAAACAATATAGAATATAGGTACTAGTCACAGTATAATAAAAAAAAAGTTTTACCTTCTTAAAAGACAGTTGGAAGCCCGAAGATTTAATATTTTTAAAAAGACACTTGGGACCACGAGAAGGTTTCGCTTTCTTTAAAAAAGGGCAGTTGGGGCCCCTGAGAAGGTTTCACATTCTTAAAAAAGAGACATTTGGGGCCCCCAAGAAGGTTCCACATTCTTAAAAAAAACACAGTTGTGGCCCTCGAGAAGGTTCGACATTTTTAAAAAAGACAGTTGGTACTCCCGAGAAGGTTTTGCATAAAAAAAAAAACAATTGGAATCCCAGAGAAGGTTGCGCATTAAAAAAAAATATATTTTTGGGGCCCCGAGAAGGTTTTACAATTTTAAAAAAGACAGTTGGAACCCCGGAGAAGGTTTCACATAAAAAAGACAATTGGGTCCCCCGAGAAGGTTTCGCCTTCTTTAAAAAAGGACAGTTGGGACCCCTGAGAAGGTTTCACATTCTTAAAAAAAAGACATTTGGGGCCCCTGAGAAGGTTTCACATTCTTAAAAAAAAGACATTTAAGGCCCCCGAGAAGGTTTTACATTTTTAAAAAAGACAATTGCGATCCCCGAGAAGGTTTCGTATTCTTAAAAAAATACTTTTGGTGCCCCCGAGAAGGTTTTTTTAATAAAGAGGAGCGTATTCTCACCTTATCGAGAAAGTGGAATAATTTCATCAATAAAAAAATTGTCATGACGTCATAAACTTAGATATTACACACTGCGAAAGAAAAAGAGAGAGACAAAAATAAAAGAAAAAAAACCGAAATACAACATAGAATTCTTTGAAATGACGTCATCAAAATGTTGGTGAGGACCATTAGCAAAATTTTGGTTAGCATCTACATGATATTTCTAATATACATACAAAATTTGACAACAATCGGTCCAGCAGTTTCAGATTACGTGTCTAATAAAAATGGATACAGACACCAAACAGACAAGACAGACAGGCAGACAGACGGAATAGCTTACGCTCGGGAAGTAAAAACAAATTTTAACAGATCTTCAATTGTTTCTCTATTTACTGTGATTTAAAAACACCACGAAAAATTCTTAAAAACGAGAACATTAAAAAATAATTTTTTTGTAAGTCCCAAATGACATTTTAAATTAGTGGTACCACTGAAATTCAAAAGTCGTGACATTTCCATAAATTTGTAGCAATTTTTTGTTGTTTCAATGCAGACAGATTTCTATCTCGGTTTTCAAATACCTTGTTTATTTTGATAACCTTCACAATAATAATGAACTAATTTTAAAGTCTTTGGCATCCTTAATTGGAAAACAATATTTCTTATTATGGGAATTCCGTCTGTAAAATGTTTACATTTGTTTACGTGTTAATTTCTCAAATTAAATTAATTCTGATACTCACAATTTTAAAAATTCAGGGTTAATTTCAGTGAAATAGTATTTTAGTCTTCTTGCTTTAAACATATAAGGTTACATACCTTGGAATAATAGACACTGAACTGTGCTACATGTACTGATGAGATTTAAGGAGGTCGAAACTATGGTCTACAGATTTTCATTGAATTGTCTAATCTTTTTTTACTGTTAACGGTGTACAAAAACGTGTTTTATTCTATTTTCGCACTTTGTATGCACCGTAATTTTATAGAAAACATAAATTCCTGCACTGTTTCCATTATTTTATTTTATTCGGGGCTAAATCACGAAGATCGATAATACCCGGTAAGCATTTGTAATTTACAGCGTCAAAACGTTTAAAAATTTTATTATGTACTGTGAATAAAAAATGTCAGTTTCAAGTTTTACAAAATGACTTTCCTTAATTAATAAGAAGATTAATAATGACTTATTTTCCGTGGTGTCATCTACCTCGAAAGCTAAGCAATGCAATGGTGGAACGTTAACTTCGTATACAGAACTTCAGCAAAAATTACAAAACAAAAATCACAATTAAGGTTTTAATTTAAGCTTATGCGTGTGTAATGCATAATCATATTTTCCGGTTTGGTCCTACAGAGATTCCGGAAATTCATTTGAATACAAAAGATAACTAATGTATACCTTATGACCTTTTCGTTACCGGAAATACTGCGAAGTATGGCAATATTTACAGTGACTAGTGTAACTTGTATGTTTTCACAAATATTGATGTTTAAAAAAAAAGGTCCAAACTATGTCACATATTTTCTTACGCGTCTATGAAATTCACTCTATAGTATTTAGATGAGACAAAATATCGTCAGTGAGAAAAATAGAAACTCACGGTTGATTGACGAGAAGACAACATTCAGAATCGTTCGTGGGATCGCTCAGCTTCCTTTTGTTCCTGGCCCAAGCTTCGCGTTGCTTCTTCAATCGCTTTTCGTTTTTCGAGCTGAGATGACACTTGACGCGATGCCACTGCCCGGAAGGAGTGGTGTTTTCCTCGCTTTCGGAATAGCTACCGGAATCGACGCTGCTCTTCCTGCTGTTAGTGCTGCATCGGCTCGACGGCAAGCTTTCGAAACCAGAAGAAGCCTGCGACAGCTTCCTGGTCGACGGTATGGTGATGCTCTCTTCGCAGCGGTTCTGTTGGTTCAGCCACCACAATAAGTGTTCGTTCCTTTCGTTCTCTAGTGTATTCTCGCGCAATTCGTGACAATTCTCGTATAATTCGACTTCTTTGGGCACGTAGCTAGTCTTCCGAATCCTCGGCTTGATCATAGTTTCGTCATCCGGATCAGGAATTTTGTCTAAGGCGTTGATGATTTCGTCATCGAGAGCGTCTCTACTATAATGGCAGTACTTTTTGAGCAATCTAAGAACTAATTCGTCGTTTTGATTATGTCTATCAGTCTGCTTATTCCTATCAGTCTCCTCGGGTAATAAATTATTAATAAATAAATTCGATTGTCTACGTATAGTTCTAAGTTCTGGCATGGATGGCCTCCGGGGCTGTTCCACCACTTTATCTTCGGGGATTTGACCCAAACTAGTTTTTCTTTCAGGCGCATTTTTAACAGAATCATCCACTAGGTTTATCACGTTACAGTCTGGTAGTTTTCCTTCCGTGTTAGCGGTGTTCTGCTGGAATAGAAGCTCCTTGTGCTTCTCGGTAAGTTCGGCGAAGCCATTCTCTTGCAAGATGAGTTGTTTGTTTGCGAATCTTTGTAAGAAATCGGCGATGGCGGCCCAATGGGCCTCTGTTAGTACTCCGTGGAGTCTTATCGATGATAGTTGCAGAGGGATCCAGCGATTGTCTTTCAAACACCAGACGACGCCTGATGATACCATCTTTCAATATAAATCATTTAAAAGAAAGGTCTCCCCTTCGAACCCTGCGAGAATCCAAATTACCGAGTTACAAATCGTCCTTCGCCTGGCAGTACCTCCATTATTTCACCACGTGGTTTTCGATAAAAACAATAAAAGTGAAATGGTAGAATAGTAATGTTGACCTTGCTTTTGACAACGCCCCTTTCGATCAAACAATACAATGCGCCGGTGACATGAATTGAATTACAATTTCTCCCGATCAGGCCCAAATGGTAAAGACGTGACCGTGCAGGGTTAGATGAGTCAGTGGAGGAAGTCGCGTGATGATTTGGCCAAAAGCGGAAGAAGCTAATCGACGAAATTCCTTGAGCTTTGGTAGTGTGCTCTAAAGTAAATATCTTTGGCGACTCCGACCTATCAAACGTGCAACGGTATTCAGTCGTTCAACTCGAACGAGGAACAAAAAAATGTTAAATTGAACTTAAAAAAAACTAACGTGACTTCGCTAGTAATGGGAGAGTCCTGTTAAATTTCCCTTAGTGAAAAAAAGCAATTTCGATCTAACCACAGCCAATAATGGAGGTACCTGAGTACTTAAAAATCTAGTTCATTGATGCTATGAGACGGTCTCTTTTCGTGGTCCTAATGAAATTCAGCCAAACCGACCTAGAATACGCACTGCTCCAATACCAGTCCGGAAAATTTGTCTGAACACACTTATAGTACGATTTTCATCACGTTCGATGAGCACGATGCACTTAGCCAGCAACAGGTGAACGCGACAACTGATTATTGTTATTGCGGCACGGTGGAATAAGCAATGATTGTCCGGCACCAGCACGCTCTGGTGGGGTTATAACATTGGCCGGGAGAGATGTAGCTGTACCGTACTACGAAAACTGTACCAACCTTGTTCGATGTGCCCTATTTATTTCTTTCGATCGAAACACCTAGTGGGCCCTGGTGATGTTTCAAGGGCGTTAACGAGATTAAAAAATCTACAGGTAAGGGTCAGTCAGACAATTTTTGTTAACCGCAGGAAGTAATGCAATTTCAATAAGGAGGAAGTTAACTTTGGAATAAATTTCCAAGACTTAGGTCAAACTGTAGGCGACAACGGCATCTCTAATAAAAGGTCATAGGAATATGTTACTAAAGCACAATTCAAGTCTGCCTGATTCACTTTTATGACAAGTTAACACTTTCGTGAAAACCACAATCATAAAAAACTCATTTATTGGTAATTCATTGACCCATTTAATAGCTACTAGATAAAAAGTATGCTCTCACTGCTATAATTGTGCACGGTGTTCCTCAAGACTCCTTCGACAGTCTGTTTATATTCATGTCCTTGTGCAGTGTACAATTTTTGTTTAAGTACTAATGAGTCATGAACTGCATTAACAATAAGTTACGTAATTATAACAATTTCTCGCATTTTGATGAAGGCTGTTGTGAGAATTTCATCTGTGTTAATTCTCGAAAGACGAGTTCCTGAAAGCTCTCTAAACTTATTCGGACTATCCATTGACGTCACTGATTTGCAACACATAATTATATAAATATTCCAAAACAATGTTGTGGTATATCTGAATAAAATTCTACGAAAATTGAAGATACAAATTTCACTTAGGCTCTTATCGATAGCTAAACATTTTAAATATTCCTTAATGACATCATAATGTGATCAGCTTTTCTTTCAGAAAATGACCCACGTATGCAATTATGCATGCCAAATTTAATCCTACTCGCCATTGACTATTATAGCTAATCCATCATTAGTTTTGACTGTGGGTATTGTTGTGACGGTTAACTTCTATTGTTCCTTTGGGCGTGTTTTTGCATTATTTTATAAAATGGGTATTCCTGGTGTGGGTTTTTTTACAACAAATATCCTCATAATTAGAATACAATGATCTAATTCTAGTAATACGTGTCGCTACAGTTGATATTTTCCTCGAAATTTATTCACTAGGGTTTTTTTTTTTAATTAATAAATCCAACGTCAAAAACAATGTAATATACAATGTGTTGTACTTCAAAAAATAAACTACACAATACTAAGTCTAGAAGAGCATAGCAAAACCGATTGAAAAACTTTCGTTATAATCGGTAACAGTCCTTTTTGCTTTTTAAATTATCCTTCCTTGTATTTTAGTAGAAAAAATATTATTTTCTGCACACATTACCAATTATTGATAATCGGTCAAACCACAGACTCTTAGCTATGGTTTGAAAATTCCAGCAGCCGCTTTTAAAAAGCAGTCATTTTATTTTCGATGAAATCCAACATAGGATCAATTTCATGATAAAACTAGGTATCGAATCGAGATTGTTAAAGAGAGAGAAATACTAGTTTAAAAATAATCTGGTTATTCTGAAAACTTTTTAAATCTTATTTCGTATTTACCTTAAAATTTAGATTACTTATCAAAAAATAAAGAAACAATATAACACAGTTGCGGATTCGCAGACGGTTAAATAAGAATATAGCCATTTAAGGTAGTATAAGTAAATAATTAAACTCTGACATTTGCTTCTAAATAAAGAAAATTCGTAAGAAACATTGTATTTATTTACTAAATAGCATGACATGCAACAACTTCACGTGTTCGTTGTTTTACTTGAACACATACATATAAAAATGTTGTTGTACATTCGTTATCTTTTAAGAGAAAATTATCCATGTTTGCAATTCATTAGAAACAATTATAAATACAGCAATTTGTTTACTTACGTGCAGTTATTTGTACACTTAAAAGGCATAAAAACTACTAAAAACATGTTTAAAATATGTTATTATACACTTAATATTAAACATTGTTTTACAGTATGTAGCTACGTAATACTTTTCGTTTTTTTTGTGGAATACACAAAATATATACAGGTGTAAATTTATTTACACAAGGTGATTAAATCTGGTGGTCTATGGTCTGTATTTACAACATCTCCGAATGTGTCTTTTAGATAAGCTTTCTTTTGATAATGGGTCTATTGAGGTTTATCCTAGTACCATTATGTAAAAAAAAAAAATATTTAAAAACTTTCGCCTTTGTCATTTTCCACTACTTTATAGTTAGCTTGCTTTGAAATACGCATAAAAATTGAACTTATTTATACACGGTGATCACATTTGGAGCTCCTTTCCATGAAAGTTTTCTTTTACATCAGGTATGTTAACGTTTATCGTAATTTTTTTTGGTATTGTTGTTTGTTATATTGCATTAAAAAACTAGGAGTTCAGTAAAATCAAGTTTCATGTCAAGATGTAACACTTTTTTTTACTTTAAAAATGTATGTTAAATAAAATCCACCATCGTTTTAGTATACAATATCAAAATTATTTTTCACACGGTCAGATCGTAGAGCTTTAATAATTACAATTCAGACTTACCACGTTACCAAATTGTCAGATTTTACAAAAAAGTACACCTACAGATGTACTACTAAAATATTTATTTTTTATTACTTGGAACTAACGGCATATTTCAAATACAATTTATACAAGCGTCGTTTAAGGGTTAATTTCTAAATGTCGGTTGCAAAGTTTTTTCCTCAGTTCAGGTTTCGTAACCAAAATCACTAATCTGTTAGCACTTATTTAAAAGTCAGATTTTGCGGCAGAAAACGTGAATGCTCTACTTTCTATTTCAGTAAATTATTTAAAATCAAATTATATTTTAAGTTACTTATTTTGGACTCACTTTTTTCTAGAAAAATCACATTTTATCTTCGTCATACTCTTGACAACTACACGGGTGTTCATAAACTGCACACTTTTTGAATCCGCACCCTCATTCAGGTACCTACATACCTTACCGAAAATGCGCACCAGATCAGATAAATCCTTCATAACGACTTCTTAAAATTACCATTTACTTGGAATGTTTATTGCACCCCGAAACACCAATGGCGGTCGGGACAGGTATACCACCCCCATTATAAAACCCAACCTTGAATAATTTTGCAGCAGTTTTGAACGAGTTTCAAATACATTCTTATATAAAATTACAAAATGTGAACGAAAGAGTAAGAATAAAAGATGTCCTAGAAGGAGGCAACAATTTGTTTAATGTAAAATAAATGAGTAGACTAACCGATGTATTCATAGATTGCATTAGGTACAATGTTAAGGTTATGCAGATAAACAGAAATATAAAATTCTCTATGTTTTTCATTTACTACAGAAATTGGAGATTACCAACAATCGCTTTAAAGTCTTAGATCATATAATAAATAGATACCAATACTTAGACTGAAAGCTGTGACTAGACATGAAGCTATCTGTTGTTTTCTACATCAAGGGGAGTCGTATAATGTAATTCTTATGTGATCACCACATCGTCATCTATGTTATATGAATTTCATCTGTATATGTTTATTTCACTTCCATCTTTGTACCGCACCAACGCAGCACATCGCTTTTGACAGATGTTTCTTCTAACCTCTCTTTCAAGTTCTTGTTACGAAAAACAATTTTAGAATTTAGACCCAAGGTCCTATTTTAAATGATGTAATCATAACGGTTTACAATCGGTACCCAATAATTTACCATTCCTTTCGTTATCTACTCTGAATTATTTATAAAGTCAAGCTGTCAACATTTTTCGTACGAAGTTAGTTCAGACCATGTTCAGACATACTTCCTAAAATTTAGGCCCGCAAAATTCAAATAGTGATCAGGCAAGGATAGCTTCATTGTAATTCCTCTATGTACAAGAGAGATGTGTGATAGGAGGATGTCGTCATAGGCTCTCCCAAGGAAAGTACACGGTGTGTTGGTAACTATTTATTATATGATCTAATAAGTTTACAATACACTGGTAATTACCTACTCGGTGGGCAATTTAGGAACCAGAGGTAGATACGCAGTTTAGGTAAGTATATGCAGATAGATGGTGCGCAGTTTAGGATCGCCGAACTACACTATTATTCTGATAAAGTGCAGAAGATGGCGTCTTTAGGACTGAATTTTTTCTACCATACTCAATCTACAGTATGTCCCCGGATTGAGTTCACAAGAGAAAAAAAAAACTGTATTTTCTATTTTACAAAAAAAAAATGACATAGAAATAAAATTTTTTGCTTAATTCAAAACGAATAAATCTGAAATTAAAACTTCAATATTCCTGGTCTGTACTCTTAAAATTAATTTTTCATATTTCTAAGTTCTTCGTTAGTTTTAGTTTTTTTCGATTTTAAGGACACAGCCTGATAATCTTTTAAAAAAATTACAATTGAGATAGGGCGGGTGGGCGGGGCTACATTTTGCCTTTTTTCTTATTAATATCTGTAGTCATATTTTCACTCAAAGAAACTTAAAACATGTTAAAATGGTAAAGCTGTATAGGGAAATATTGATTTTGCAACTACGTTCCGCCCCTCGGTCTGACAACGAATGAAAAGTTCCTCACGATTGAGATCGAAAAGGATGGGTGGAGCTTCTCTTTTGGTTTTCTTTTTTAATTACTACATTTAGTTTTCTATATATATCATATTTACTTAAGAACATATTTCGCATGGTAATTTATCGTAGAAACATAAGGATTTTACAATTAAACTACGCCCCTCGGCTTACGACGAATAAAAAAAATCATCAGAATTGAGATAGGGCGGGTGGGTGGGGCTTATATTTGTCATTTTTTTCTTAATATACATAGCTATCTTTTCACAACAAGAAACTTAGAACATATTTTTGCAAGAGCCTAATTGCTAAATCGATATTTCCTTACACAAATTTTCCATTTTAAACATGTTTTAAATTTCATGTTGTCAAAAGAAGTCTACA